AATAAAACTAGCTACAGTAATTCTATTCACAGGCAGTCCCCGGGTTACGAATAAGATACCGTATATACTCGAGTATAAGCCGTCCCGAATATAAGCCGAGGTACCTAATTTCAGCAAAAAAAATTGGGAAAAAGTATTGACCCGAATATAAGCCGAGGGTCCTTTCTTAAGTTGAATTTGTATGTAAGTTGGAACAGGTACATTTTTTAGGTGTAACTCCAGCCAAAATGTTTTAGTTTTTTTTTTGTTTTCGGTTCAATCCCTGTAACGTTTGTTTTGCTGTGTGTGTCCCTCTCCAGAATATTTCTCCTCACTTTCTGTCCCTGTGACAATCAGATTTAGAAAATTTTGGGTTGTCGTGGAAACAAGGATTGGTGATAAAGCTTCAGTGGAGACACCTTTTTCCCATGATCACTCTTACAGGAGTGAATTTCCCTTCCTAGGTGTAGATTTCCTCTCACTTCCTGTTGTCTCAAGGACAGGAAGTGATATTACATCTTTCTAATGAGGATGCAGACAGCAGTAAAAACCCCACAGTGACCCGGAAGAAGAGGCGGGCACCTCTCGTCTGCACGTCTAACAAGAGCCAACTTCCTGTAATGTACGTACAGCACTACAAACCAGACCCAAAAAAGGCGGGCACTCCTCGTTGGCACGAGCGCGGGAGCATTACAACGACTGAAATGCTGCGCGGTACACTTTGGCTGCAGCCTGGGACCCCCTGCTGTACAGTAAGGCTGTACACCTGTACCGTAGGCGCGTTTTTTCTGCTAGTTTTTTTCGCGTTTTTCCGTTAAGTAAGACCTGCGTTTTTATACCTCCCTGGCGGTATGATTTTTTTTCCCTTTATTTTCTTTTTTTCGGGTTTAAAAAAAAAACTTTTTTAAACTTCCCGCTGGTTCCGCCCCCCTGCGATAGCTTTGTTAACCCCCGAGCCACACTCGGGAATAACAATGGATACGCGCTGAAAAACGCCCCAAAGAAGCTCAGGTGTGAACCATGCCTAATAGCCTCCGTTTGTACGTAGGGGACGTATGTAAGTCGGATGTATGTAACCCGGGGACTGCCTGTATACTGAATAAATACTGCAAAATGTATTGTGTGTATTTATAACTGTGGAAGATGTGTTGTTTTTTACAAGGTTATTAAGTGTTAGGCCCCATTCACACCCGGGTGTCGCGGGAACGCACGTTCCTGCATGTTTGCATCGCTATTGGGTCCCTGGATGCGGGGCAAACACAGAAAAGTATATAGATATCTTGCAGCACTCCTTACCACATGCCCCAATACTCGGGGAAGGGTGCTTGTAGTGACCGCCAATTGCACTAATCGTATGAAGGATGTCACCAGCACACCAAAAATCCTTAAAGGATCAGCAAGTGTTCATTCATTCAGAACCATGTCAAGAAAAACGCAGCGCTTTCGGGGCCGCACAGGGTCCCTTCGTCAGGCTTAGCATCGTCAATGCCCCGAAAGCGCTTGTTTTTCTTGACACTGCATGCTGTGCTGGCAATTGCAGAAATTGAATTCCAAGATAGTTCCCCCGAGTGTGAGTATGGCTGCTCCAGCGTCACTCATAACCTCTTTTAATAAGGGACTAGCTGGGTCTGGGATGCCCACAGCAGCCAATCAGATTTCAGGAATCATTTTCTAATGTAAGTTACAAGGGAAGCAAGTAACTGATTGGCTGGCTGGATAGGTAACACCTTCACATTAATCCTACTCACGTCTTCACATATCAGCCCCATACCCCGTACGTCATAGATGCCACACACACATACATACCAATAATGAAAACACGTTGATGTTGTTTGTAACTTTATTATAAAAAAAGGAAACATTACCTTTCTGTAAACAGAAATTTCAGTCTGAGTAACCCAAAATATACAATAACCTTTATATATATATATTTATATAGATGCAGCCCTCCCAGATACAGCAGCCAGTGACTCTGATGGAGGCACAGAAACTATAACACACTCACACACATACTGCTCAACTACATTCAAGGTATGTACACTCCTGGAGCTCCATACATCAGATCGGTACATACTGATAGCATCTGACCTGGAAGATTGAGCCAAGTAACCAGACTGCATTTTCTGTACATGTATTTCAGTAGCACGGTTACATAATACATCCTTTACAATGCACTGGATAGACGAGTCCTTGAAGGGCCGGTTCTTGGGACGCCATGCACGTGTAAAGATGGTGTGATCACCAATGAAAAGAGGAGAATGCGCTTTGCTAATAAGACACACGTGATCACTGTGCATTCACCACGTATGGAACACTGCCAAGTCACAGAAACATATCTAGAATTCTCCATCAATAAAGAGAAATTGTCAATTGGATGAGATTTTCTATTATTTCAAGGACGTCATGGTGGTCAACTGGAGGCTCTCATGTGTTAGGGTCATGGGATCTTTTCCATCATGCATGGGATATGTACATTCTTTAAATGTTTTCTCCTGTTTAATCTCAAAAATTAACATGAAGTATAATAATTGGCTTGCACTCAAATGACCCTACTGTGTGGAAATGCATGAGGGCGGTGTTGTGGTAAGAACACGTATAAGCTCCTCTGGGGCCGGGGCTACTGTGATTGGACTCTGCAAAGCTCTGCAGAATCTGTATGTTGCTGTAAAAGTGAATAAAAAAGATGTCTCTCCCATCCTCTGGAACTCTTTACCCCAACCTGTCCAACTATCTCCCACCTTGACTGCCTTTAGGCGATCTCTAAAGACTCATCTCTTCAGGGAAGCTTATCCCACCTCAACATAACCACACAACCATCACATTCTCAAACAATTCATCCCCACACAGCTCCCTCCTCATGTATCACTTCCCCCTCCCTTTTAGATTGTAAGACCTCAGGGGCCGGGCCCTCCTTACCATCTTGTCTTGAATTGTGATTATAATGCCTTCCCTATATTGTAAAGTGCTGCGCAAACTGTTGGCGCTATATAAATCCTATATAATAATGATAATAATGCCCTAACTTCTGCCTGTCGATGAATGCAGCCTGGACTTCCTTTACAGGTCAAGAACTACTATCAGTATGTACAATCCACATGCACGCTTTTCATTTACTGATGTGTAACATATTTTCCTGTACAGCTATATACACAGATATGCACCTATAGAGATAGGAGTGCAAGAAACCCTGTATTGTTGAAGGTTACGTACTAAGAGGATGGCAATGTGGCTGCAGGGGAAGGGAAGGTCCCATGAAGACCTGTAAATACAGACCAAGGCCACCCATGAGAAAGGACAGGTTGGGGCGAGACACAGGCTAAGCTCCTGCAAATGACAAGCCTCACCCCTAAAAACTCAGGGGTAACAAAATGTGCCAAAGGAACCTGATTCATTTTCCTTCTGCAGTTCAGGAAATGAAAGCAAGCATCACAGTTGCTTTCAGGCGACACCTTAACGTTCCCTTTGTTTACATTGAGGTCATTTGTCTGTCCTCTTCACCGGGCACTGTGGCTGACTTGCCGTAATTACGCTTCAGATACAATTATCAGTGTTGGAAAAGCAAAGTAATGATGATCAGCAGTGTGGATCTCTTGGTTTGGAGGTAAATGACACTGATAATTCTCTTGTTCATATTTGGATTAAATATCGCCAGCCGCCGCCAGAGGTAAGACCGCTGCATGCATGTTTGGCTGTGGACGCCATTATAAAAACCTTGTAAATATATAAATCCTATTGATTGTACTTGTCATGGGGCCGGATTTAGTATGTAAAATCTGCTACCCAGTGAGTGCGCCAACTTTCTAGTGCAGAGGGCTGGCATGCCCAACCATCCGGAGGGCAAAGTGAACCAGCTCAGGCTGAGGCACTGCCATAGTCAGAGGCTGAAGTGTGATGACATTATATATACCTGGAGTTTGACCGAGACCTATAGTGCTGAACATTGAGCATCTGATGAAGGGTTCATTTGCACGCCCATGCAGAGACCCGATCCCGGGAGGGACAGGTGCTGCATGTGATTGCGTGCAGCAGCCTGTACTTCCTATGGGAGGACGCAACTGCACGTGGATACACGCAGACCCGAACCTGCACATCTGCGTGGGTCTGGTGCTCTCACTTGGACACACACTGTCTGTGTACAAGTGCAGGCACCTGGACCCAAATGGTTGTGCAGGTTAAGGTACGCGCATGTAACTGTGTTCAACCTCATCCTCCCGTAGGCAGGAAGAGGCTGCTACGCACAATTACATGCAGCACCTGTCCCTCCCAGGATCGGGTCTATGTGGGTCCGGGTGTGATTGACACGAAGGGAGACGGCAACCCGAAACCTGATGCTTCACCATGTTGTACTTCTCCTATTTTGAATAAAATGTATACTACTGAACTGCAAGTAAGGCTAATTGTCTGTCATTTGTAATCATCACCTTACATACTGTCTCTGGAGTGGCTGGGCAATTAGGTTTTGTCACATGTGTTTGATTGGGACTGGTCTTTGGAATTTTCTGTCCATGGACTTGGCTTCGTAATTATCTGTCTATGGACTTGTTATTGGAATTCTCGGTCTATGGAGATGCCTTTGTGATTGTTGGTCCATGCACTTGCCTTTGAATTGTCTGTCTATGGACATAACCATTGCCTTTGAATTGTCTGTCTATGGACTTGCCTTTGGATTTGTTGGTCTATGGACTTGCCTTTGGAATTGTTGGTCTATGGACTTGCCTTTGAATTGTCTGTCTATGGACTTGCCTTAGTTATTGTCAGTCTATGGACTTGCCTTAGTTATTGTCAGTCTATGGACTTGCCTTAGTTATTGTCAGTCTATGGACTTGCCTTAGTTATTGTCAGTCTATGGACTTGCCTTAGTTATTGTCGGTCTATGGACTTGCCTTAGTTATTGTCGGTCTATGGACTTGCCTTAGTTATTGTCGGTCTATGGACTTGCCTTTGGATTTGTCAGTCTATGGACTTGCCTTTGGATTTGTCAGTCTATGGACTTGCCTTTGGATTTGTCAGTCTATGGACTTGCCTTAGTTATTGTCGGTCTATGGACTTGCGTTTGGAATTGTCAGCCTATGGATAATCCCAAGTGATGATACTGTGCAAGTTGGGCTTGTCTGGGATAAGTGGTGCTGTAATATAGATAATGTAGAAGTATGTGTATAGTAGAAGAACATTCCTGAAATTCTAGCTGAGGTTGCATTGCTCAGGAATTCTATTTACAGATATACGGATTTATTTGAGTTAAATCCAGATATGTTTTGTAAAATGTCCTTATGTAGTAAGTAGGAGAAACAATTGTTCACAATCACTCGGAATTAGACACAGGACACACTCTCAGATTGCACTCATAGCTGCCAGAGGGAGATTTTGGAGCCGTGGTAAGAGGCCCTAACCCACCGTGGAGGAGGGAGTAGTAGAGGATGCCGGGGATCCTGTGTTGGAGCTGTTCCAGAACAACCAGCGTCTCTTGGGCTGTCTCTTCTGGTGCAGAGCCATCTCCTTCTCACGTTCTCTCTGAGCTCTCTGAAAGTGATCTTCCTCCTTCAGGTACCATACAGGGGGCCATCGCTGAGTCTCTAGAATCTGCTGATTCTCTGAAGATAAAATAATGTACAATAAATACCATACAGTTACTACATACAGTATATCCTTTGTATGCATTATATGTTTCCTCCAATACCTCTCCACTTCTCCTTGGTCACATTGTGAGGGAGAAAGTCTGTCTTCTCTTGGGGTAGATGGGCACATGGCAGTAGAGAGCAGAGGCAAAAGCCCCTGAGTCACTGTTTATCTGACAACTTTCCATCCAGCTCCTTCAAACAAAATTTGGCTTAAAAATCCACTTTTGTTGCCCGTTCTAGCCTGTTGCCACTATGAGAGCTGTGGCTCTCATACAAGGAAGCTGCAGTGTTTTTGTCCGCCCCTCTCTCCCCTTGTCCATTCACAGAACCCTCTGTATTCTATGACTGGTTCACAGAATACAAGGTGTTCTCTGAATGGCCAAGGGAAGAGGAGAGGAGGACAAACAACAGTATGGCTTCTGTGTATGAGAGCCACAGCTCTCATAGTCGCAGTGCTGGAAGCATTGCAAGAGCTGCAATATTTAGCCTGGTGACTGTGCAGGGCTGTCTCAGGTGGCATCTCATTGGGAGGGCATCCCATTGGGGGGGCGGGGCAGAGGGGCGGCCGCAGCATCCCAGGTTGCTAAGAGCTCTTAGCAACTTTTGACACTCTGTCCGGCTTCTTGCCCAGCTCACTGACGTAATTGGTTGCCAGGGAGCTGAGCAGGACACTTTGAATGGCGTCTCACCAAGCTCCTGGCAACCAGTGATGTCAGGGAGCTAAGCGGGATGGGACGTTCCACCGCATATGCCTGGACGACCAGCAGCAGCACCCTCCGCCAACCATCCATTCGCTTTAACAAATGGGTGTGGTAACCTCCCAAGTAAGCCTGTTATCAATTTTTTCATCCCTATACATATGTCCCATGTTGGGCACTCAGAGAGTTTAGAGTAGAACTGACCACACATGGCTACAGGGCTAAACAATAGAATTGCATCAATTCCCTCATCCAGTGTGATTGGATGAATCCATGCTGCCGCCTATTGTTATTGGCAGCTGCTACTCCAGAGCTGGGACATTTTTGACCTGTCTACCCAAAATACACAAAATACTAGGGGATGTACCAAAATGTAGTCCGCTAAAACATATTGTCCGAAAATGGCACATTGGGCAAAATGCTGATAATACCATCTTTCAGCCGAAATTCCGGTGCATTTCTAATTTCTCTCCTACCCGCTGGGCGCTGCTCTGTGTCCCCTCTGACACAGTGCAGAGTCCAGCAGGGAGGAGAGAAACGGTCACAGGAGGCCGAGCGGGGCGGGCAGGAGAGCGTTGTGAGCGGCTGGCGTGTTACATGAGGCTCTCCTCCCCCCATGGCTGTGACAGATCAGGAGAGCGGTGTGGGGGCGAAGGCAGTTGTCACCTGTCACAGGAGGCCGGGTGGCCGAGGGAGGAGTCAGCTGTCAAATTAGACCCAACTTTCCTCCCTGCACCACCAGCTCAGCCTCCTGTGACAGCGAATCAGCATGGAGAGCAGGTACAAGCACTCAGCGATCAGTGAGTTTGTAAATAATTGAGAACAGAGTAGGTTTACTGTTTCCCCAATTATGAATGAACAGGAAGTCCTCTACATCATTTCCTGTTCATTTATGATTGTGGACACAGTAAACCTACTATCTCCACATGTTATGAATGAACAGGAACACTCAGTATTCAAAAGAAATTAAAAAGGTTAAATTAAAAATAATTTCCGGTTTCGTCCTGACATTTTATTTTAGTTTCGGTTTAGTTTTCGGTGCACCTCTTCTGAATAATATATCAATAAATAAAATACTTCTACTACCACCCCGTCTTCGCAGCGTTTTATTGCTGAGGGACTTTTTATGGATGTTTATCAGGGTAGATGTTCCAAATCACTCACCAGGGGAGACGAGCTTGATTTCCCGGGGGAACTTTCTGCACACACGGTTGTAGTTGGTAGAGATGTGATGTGAACACCAGGCTGCCAGCTGCAGAGCACCATGGAACTATAGGGATCAGAAGACACAGGTGTGGAAGAGGTCAGGGTACAACATTCAGGGGGGATGAGATAGGAGAAGCACAGAATCAATTGTTAGTGTATAGACACACTATGAGGAGTTGGGCTACAACATGCAATCATTTACCTGGGCAGCCTCTAGTAACATAAGAGCTTCTCCATCGATGTCCTTGTTATTCAGGGAGGCGTCCATCATCACCGACACTGTGTGCTTCTCTGTTACAGAACAACCATACAAAAGATCAGACCAGAAAACTCCAATACTGACAGCCGTACATTGTCTCATAAAGCAGGGGCGGGCAACCTCAACACTCCACCTCGTGGAACTACAACTCCCATGAGGCATTGCAAGATTGCGACAGCCACAAACATGACTCCCAGAGGCACACGGGAGTCATGGAACTACAACTCCCATGAGGCATTGCAAGACTGCGACAGCCACAGACATCACTCCCAGAGGCACACGGGAGTCATGGAACTACAACTCCCATGAGGCCTTGCAAGACTGCGACAGCCACAGAGATCACTCCCAGAGGCACACAGGACTAGAGATTAATATTTCCCCTGACTGCTAATGCTGATAATAAACAAATGATACATTATTGCCTGTTGTGGAAAGACCTGAAAACAATGTCATGTGGTCACCATGTGATCTGTGACTGAGACCCTTTCAGAGTAACTGAATGCAAATCAGTAAAAGGACTCATTTTTATTTACATTTTAAAGCAGGTTTTATCCAGGTGCCCCCTCTGTGGCCTGGCAGCGTGCCTAGAGCAGTGGTGGCCAACTTGAAAATTATAGTAGGCCTTAAATGTGGCCCCTGACACTTCCAGAGGGCTGTATAATGGCAGTGCGCTTGTGCGTGTTGAGGTGCACTGAATCGCGTTAGACGGCCAAGTCAAAATGAACGGGACGAAGCATACCTGCTGCATCTTTTCCAGTGTACCGTAACACACATGGAAGAGCAAGTGGGAGAAAAATAAGCCCCATCTTTGGTGTCTGTGGCAGTAATGGTAACTCCCAAAATTGGTGTCAGGGGATGCAATAATAACCCTCAGCAGTCAGGTCAGTGTCTGCAAATAAAACCCCCAGCATTAGGGTCAGTGGCTGCAATAATAACCTCCAGCACTGATGTCAGGGGCTGTAATAATTAGGGATGCACTGATACCGATACTAGTACTAGTGGCAGTGCTGTTATCCACCGATACTAATATTGGTATGGGTGTCGATACCGAGTATTTGTGTACTCGCCCAAATGCTCCGATATTTACCTCCGATACCCGAACTTCCAGTCAGAGGGAGATTTCCTCTGACCGGCAGTGCCGCGAGGGAACATGGAGCCGGCTTCCGGGCCAATTAGCATTGAGCCAGCCAAACAGCATGGAGCCGGCTTCCAGGCCAATCAGGAAGCTGGTTGGCAATGACCCGCCTCCCGGCTTCCTGATTGGCCGGGAAGCCGGCTTCTCAGCCAATCAGCTTTCAGCTGGCCAAACAGCATGGAGCCGGCTTCCTGGTCAATCAGGAAGCTGGGTGGCAGGTAATGACCCGTCGGCCAGCTTCCTAATTGGTTGGGAAGCAGGATCCATGCTCCCGCGAGTACTGGTATCGGTATTCGGAATCGGCGAGTAAAAAAAGATAAATATCAATAATCGTAGTTGATACCGAAAAACTGGTATCGGTGCATCCCTAGTAATAATTAACCTCCAGCATAAGTGTCAGTGTTTGCAATAATAACCCCCAGCATTAGTATTAGTGATTGCAATAACCCCCAGCATTAGTATTAGTGACTGTAATAACCCCCAGCATTAGTATTAGTGTTTGCAATAATAACCCCCAGCATTAGTATTAGTGATTGCAATAACCCCCAGCAATGGCATCAGTGGCAGTGCTATGATCCCCTTGTTGCACTGGTGGTTAGTGACAGTATTATTTAGCCCCCCTGCATTGGTGGTAAGTGGTTGCTTACCTGATCACACACTCCTGTGCTGCTCTCTCTCTTTCCCCTTTCCAGCTAGGACTATACTTGTACCGTCAGATGAAGATCCCTCCGCCTCACAGCACCGGCGGCTTAGTTTCAATGCCGGATGCTGGAACCCTGCTGCTCTGTGAAAAGCGCTCAACAGTTGGCGGACCCAGCCCAGGACACGGCGAACTGCTCACAGATAGCCAGTGGGCCACATTTTGGGCACCAGGGGCCTGAAGAATAACACATGTCTGCCCCTCCTATGCTGACTAGTAGCAGAATCCCAATCAGCATAACAATCACCCGTAACTGCTTTTTTTCTGACTGTGAGTTGTTTGCAGCTGCTGAAAGTAAGCGTGAAATGACTCGCAGGAAGCTGCCACATTTAATGACCGGATTTACATTTACAGGTGGAAAACATGGTGCTTGGCCAATTTTTGGTCCATTTGCAGCGTATGTAAATGAATCAGCTGCCTTAAGCACATGAATGGGCCCCTTACCCTTGCCCAGCATAAAACACAACATTTACCTGTCAGGGCCACTAGGTGTGGCAGGCAAAGCCTGTTTGCCAGTATGATGAGGTCCAGCGGGTCAAGATCAGGTCCTGCGGTGAACTGCCCAGTGTAGAGATACTCGAGCACCGCACGCATACTGGCCTTAGAGGTATAGGGGAGCACCACCTGCAGATACAGAACAACCTCGTTCAATGAGAGATGAAGAAGCAGGCCACCCAGGACAAAGCAGCCATATATATTGTTACAGAGTGTATATCCTGTATACAGGCAAACAGCAAAGCTCCATCTGAAGTATACCCGTACCCAAATACCTTAAAGGGCATGTAACCCCCGACAATAAACTTATCTTATTTGGCTCGATTTGGTCATTTAGATGCATCATGGAAAGGGTTTGGTTAAATCTGTTCGATAAGTGAAAAAATACCCGTTGATCCCGCCAGATATTTTGTCAGCTGAGAACTCTCTGCTTGTGCTGCATTCTTATCTGTTACATTGTTCATGAGATTTCTTCCCCCTTGTGCACCTTCCCCCAACTTTTCCATTGAGATTGATAACACAACCATCCACCCCTCCCCCCATGCCAGGGTCCTAGGTGTCATCCTTGACTCAGACCTCACCAATGAAACCACAAAATTACTCATCCACTCCCTTGTTATATCTCGTCTTGACTATTGTAACTCCCTCCTCATTGGCCGACCTCTACACAGGCTCCTCCCCCCTTCAGTCTATCATGAATGCTGCTGCCAGACTCATTCACCTAACCAACCGCTCAGTGTCTGCAACCCCCCTCTGCCAATCCCTGCACTGGCTTCCATCCTCCACCCCCCTCTGCTAATCCCTCCACTTCCAGGCCCCCAAAGGGCAAAATTCTAAATATTAACAACCACTCACAGAGCCACCCACCACTCTGCCCCTGGATATATCTCAAACCTTGTCTCAAAGTATCACCCTAATCGTCCCCTCTGCTTCTCCCCAGACCTCCTGCTCTCTAGTTCCCTCGTCAACTCCTCCCATGCTCGCCTTCAGGACTTCTCTAGAGTCTCTCCCATACTTTTGAACTCCTTACCCCAACCTGCCCGTCTATCTCCTGCTCTGTCTGTCTCCTGCTCTGTTTTAGGCGATCCCTGAAGACTTATCTTTTCAGGGAAGCCTATTCCACCTCAAACAAACCACTCAACCATCACTATCACTATCAACCATAACTGCTCCTCCACTGATAAAGTACAGTGAGTGAGTGTTCTCACCCAGAGACAGGAAGTGTGTTGCTGGCAGGATCACCAGGCAAAAACAAAGGAAAAAAGCCCCAAAAAATAAAACTAATGAGGCCACCACATCTAAAGCCCGGTACGCTGCAATATATCAAATATTTTCTTATGAGCTTAGCTACGCTTTAAAGGCATGTTGACAGACTTGCTGGGAAGGGTAAATGAAGAGTGATGGAAGAGCTGAAATTGTTATATTTCTTGGACAAAACACTGCTCCGGGCACCCTCTATGATTCCTTGCTGAAGGGGAAGTTGAATGGTCCGGTTAGCTGATCCTTCCCATCATCAGAGATCATTATTATTATACAGGATTTATATAGCGCCAACAGTTTGCGCAGCGCTTTGTGACCAAATGCCTAGGCTTTTTGCTTAGATGCCAAGCACTGGAAGGAGCCCGCAGCGGCATTTTCTCCAGGAAGGCATATTATTACAACCCTTGAGGAGCTCGTCAAGGCAGGTAGCATAGGCTTACCGTGAACCCGTCATGTCCGCCAAGGTGAATCATTAAAAATAAGTCCAAGGTATATCCCACCACACTCCTGACCCGGAAACAAACCCAAAGATCGGGCGGGTGCCGATGCGACCACAGATGCCTCCGCCAATAGTACAAAATCGATAAATGGTCACCCACACTCCAACTTGATGCAAAGCCAATATCTTTTATTGACTGAGATAGTGTCACATTTATGGCAGCAGCGGCTCTAAATGTGACACTATCTCAGTCAATAAAAGATATTGACTTTGCATCAAGTTGGAGTGCGGGTGACCATTTATCGATTTAATTTACACTCAGCTATTGCATAGGGGGATAACAAGCCTCCTATGTAATAGCAAATATAATGTGACAGGTCCTCTTTATGGAGACATCAGGGGTCTTTCAGACCCCTAACGTCACCTAGGGACCCCAAAGAAGCTGACGTAGTAGAGATCTGCTTCCCCAGCTTCTTCTCCTGGCTCTAAGAGACGGACAATGTGCCCAGTGACACCGGAAGTGATGTAATGCACATCACGTCCGGGTCCAGTGATCGGAAGAGAGATCAGCGGCTGGAAACCGCTGATCTCTCCTCCGATCCATCAGGGGAGACCCACCACGCCAGTCCCGGGCTCACACAGGGGACAGTGGAGCCCAGGGAGGCCAACGGCGGCGGGGGGGAGAGGGACACGGCACCGTACAAGCGATTCGGCACCTGTATAGATTCTGGATAACATGTATGTAAACAGCAATCGCCTGCTGTATAAAACGGTACCAAGAACATGACTGCAGCAGCAGCCGTGTTCTTGGTATAACCACTTCCAGCGGAGGACGTACATTTACATGAACCCGCTGGAAGTGGTTAAATAAAATGTCGAAGCTTTGCATGAAGATTGGGCCTAAGATCCAAGGTCCTGCATGGGCACAGAGGAACTCATTTGATGCAATGGTGGCCATGACAGGTTCACTTAAAGTTGAGTACAAATTCTAATGAAGGTAGAATTCCACTGAATGGAAGAAAAGGAGTGAGGTCAATGGGAAGTGTTACTAACAGTCACAACTCTGGACAAGTCCTAAGAGCCAGGTAGTCAATGAGTCTAGAAATAACACCTGAGCTCTGATTCTCTGGGTCTATTTTGTCTCCGGAGGCTCAAAATCTCTGCCTTATAAAAATGTTTGTGGCTGCCGTATGCAACTGACTGTCTCCTGAAGTTCCCAATACTTTTTCGTGACTGAGTTGCACCCCAGGGAACCACAAACCAGCAAATGAGCCTAATCATTATGAGCATCCATCAGTCACTTTCAAGAACTTTGGTAACCCTACCCTCCACCCTCATCCAGTTCTTCAGCTCTGACGCGCCCTTTGCTAGATATAGATTGAACATCCACGAAAATGAATTGTCTTCCGAGAACTAGTTGACTATTATATAATTATTATAACCTTATTTTAATTGGAATCCACAGGCATGCAACAGCTCACCTCAGCCGTGCTGCTTTCCAGAAAGGGGCCTCCAAACATGGCGGCCATCCAGTCACAGCCGGAGATCAGCAGAGGCTTATGGGCCTTTATACTTCCGTCATCCAGCAAGAAAGTGACATCTGATGGAGGGTAGAAGAAAGGATTAGTGGACAGCAGAGAAGGCAAGAAAGTGAAAATCCCATCCACAATAAGGCAGATTATATCACACAAAGCTGAAAAAATGTCTCATTGATCCGAATTATGGGTAAGATGCATCATACAGCAACTTCAATGTATAAAATTCATGAGACCGTCCACTACACTGCCTGGCCAATCCAGTGCCAGTGACGTGACGATACAATGGGAGAGATCAACTACACACCAGGGGTCCATTATTATAACATTGCTGACTAATCATCAAGATCAGCCCCATATGACCGCCTCTATCAGGAAGCATGGGGG